AAGCCTGTGATTAATGGATGACAAACAGTCATGTAGAACAAGTAGAGGCCTCTTCAATCATTATCCTCTAACAGTACAAGTTGGACAGTACATACAAACTGTCTGGTCTCCAAAGATAAAGAGCTACAAATGCAATCATATGTGCTTCCGTCAGTGTCTCTTGCAGTCCCTTGTCTTCTGTTTTACGTGTGGGTAAAATATAAGGAGGGTGAATTTTGTGAGGGTTGTATAAATTATTATTATAAATAATTATGACTTTTTGCTGTGTTTTCATTACCAAGGCAACTGCTGCAAGGTCCTTTTTGTTTCTACAATGGTAAATAAATTAGCATCAGTGCCATACTGTGCCCTCTGTGACTGATATCAATGTGACGACTGCCTCCAAGGTTGTTTCCCTGCTCTCTGTTTATGTGAAGATATGGCTACACCTAGTTAGCAGAGAGCAGGCCTTTCCTGAATAAACGAATAGCTCCTTTTCATGTCCGTCTCATAGAAAGAGTGTATTAATGGCATCATGGATAATTGTGCAATTAGACACAAATATTTGTTTTTCTTTCCTTGTTTTGGTTGTTCAATGCTTTAATCCCACAACCTCTTTAATCTTTCTATTTATTCCACACACACACTGGATCCACCTATAGTAATGCCTCCTTCCCTGTGTGCTATCGCTACATGGTTTTATCTGTTTGACATACATGATTTGACTTATCGTGCTGTAGTGTGAGCCGTGTTTCAGTGTATGGAAGCGTGCTGGAAATTGTTTGCATATGTGCGTGTCTAGGAGGTCCCTACCCCTCGTCTCAACAAGCCGCTGGTACTAGCTCCAGTGTCTGGTGGCAGCTGACTCTCTGTGTGTCCCTGGTTCACGTGACAAGATAGCTTCTCATGTCATATCATTGTTCTACCTCAGCGCTCAGACACCAGTCTTCTGGCTCGGCTGGTTGATTGGATAGCTCTCTCCAGAGTAGAAAAGTGCCCAAGAGATAAAGGGACAATGCTTATCCAGCTGCCATGCATGGGGGATGTTAAATGTCTGTCTATTGGCTGATGCGTGTCGTTCCAGTATTTTGGGATAGCTACCTCTAAAACTCACAGAGGCGTGAGCCTAAAAAATAAAGGCATTCACTTCTATTTCTATATTATCTTACCCAAGGGCATGCTGAAGTAATGAATACATCATTCTGTTATCTGGAGTGAGCAGTAGACTTTGCCAAGTGGACTTAAACGATTTCTGGAAAGTTTTACATTTAAAAACATGTGCAGTCCTCCCTTTGTACATTAAAGTAGTTTATCTGTGGCCCTCTGAATTGCCTCTGAGTAAAACCATGTCAAGGTGATCTCTGTTGATATCCTTCACAGAATGTGTGTGTGTGTGTGTGTGTGTGTGTGTGTGTGTGTGTGTGTGTGTACTATGTCGCGAGAATGTTTCACGCCTCTCACTATCTGGCTTTAATAATAATATTCTAAATAGTGGTCCTTGAAAAGTGTACATATATTCACCTCCCACCCAGATTTGACTTAGTAAAGTTTTTTCACGCCACCCATAGAACACGGGGTGAGGAGTTCCAACAAAAGTAAGGGTGACTCCGATTAGTCATTGTCGTGACTGACGTTGCAAGATGTTCCCTGTGAAGTCACTTCGTATCCGAGACATAGTGATAAATAAGCGACCAATACTAGTAAGTAGTCCCTATACCACAACTGTTAACTCCGTGTCTCTCTCCATCCGCATTAATATAAGGTAACCAAAGTTGGACAATGTACTATTTATGACTCAATTGGGTACGGATCCGTCAAAGCTACGGAAAAGAGTAGATTTGATAAGTCATAAGAACGATAGAGAGAATATACTGGTATTTCTGCTTTGAGCGGGGAGAGGTCTTCATTATAGACGAACAAACGGCGGGCGGAGACACGTTGAACTATACGGGTTACACTGGCTGACGGCGGCGGTAGTCAATTGACCTAATTGCGATTTGGACCTTCTGAATGAAGAGAAGAAACTTTAAAAAAAAAGAATACAGGTTTACAACAGCCCGCGCCCGTCTTTGTACTAGTTGTTTTGGCTACTTCTAACCAGTCGAACTAAAAGCCGGACATAAACTATAGTTGACAGACTTTTAAACCACGCAACGGAATTGGGACGAGAGGCATATTGGACCGTAGCACTTCTATACCGCGATATGTTGCAAATTATGGAGGCTGTTATCAGATCAGGTTGGATACCGTTTGTGACAGGAACTTGTACGCTCGCGATACCGTCTTCCTCTCGATGCACGAAACAGCGCAATTATTCATTGGAGGTCACTCTTTTTATTTGTACCATGTTTGCTATCGAGGCTGCAAAATATAAGTACATAGACGACTACAAACGCACGTACTTTCAGTGAAGTGACAAATTACCGTAAGTCTGTATCCTCATCTTACCTAAACTATTACTTTCGTGCGTGTAACACCGTTAATCTTGTGTTGTGTTTATACAGCGACAAGAAGTATTGCACAGCACTCTCACCAGGTCTGGCGCTAAACTGCAAAGGATAATCATTTTCCCCCCACCCGTAGATATTTGATTAGTACAGAAATTAGTTTTTCAAAGGCGTGTTTGGCCCCCTGAACAGGGGTAGGAGAAAGAGATATTAATACGGAAAAAAGATGCAGAGTAATAGCGCTAGCAAGCTTCCATAGGTCGTCTGTCACCTTCTCCCGTGAAGGGTTTTGTCCTCAGCACCAACCACTAATCATTGGTAATTACTCCTAGGTTCTGATTTTCGAAAGAAAATATCTCGAGATTAGTTTTTACCTTCGAGATGTACTCACATGTAACGACTAGGAGAAAAATTTGACTGAGGCTTAGACTACTATTTGCACGATTTATGGTGGTATTAAGTCGGTGTTCACTTGTCAATTGTAACTAACAGAAGCAGGACTTGTAGACAATACCTCTCTAATTTGACAAAAAGTCAAACTGTCGTAGGTGTGAGATCCGTTGAGTAGAATACTGAATAGCAGAGGCCTTTTTTCTCACTGTATAGGTCAGTTCTTCTTATTGGTAATCGTTAGGCCCCCGACGATACCTAGTTGTTCGTGAGCGACATCACACTTCGGCTCACAAAGGTCACGGATACCTTCGACAACGACCTTTAGGCAAACGTATCTACAGCGCGCATCAGATCCTTCCAGCGGATGGGGATGCAGAGTTGTTCTCGACCCATGATTCCGTATGTTCACAGAGACCACCGTGGTCGACGAGAGAGACAGCACAGGAGACGGGTCGAAGCGCAATACTTAACGCCGGACCACAGGGTGGGAGATCAGCCGGGAGGAGGCGACTTCACGGGTAAGATGTCGGAATTGGGTAATGGTTGGTGTCGTTATAAGGACGAAAAGTTTACGGAACAGTCTGGAAAAATTAAACCATGAATTTTATCTGTAAAGACACAGGCGTTCTATCACACACTTTCCTTCTTCTGAAACAACCGTAACTCGTTTTTTAATCTCAATTTGAGTATATAAAGGTTTCGTTCCCCACCTCTTTTCCCTAGTAACCTAAAAAAAGAAGTCCTTCCGTCCATTCGAAATTATAAACGGTTCTTGTACAGTGGACCCTATACGTTTAAGTCACGGGGGAGAAAATGAAATAGTCAAGACCAGGGTTTAGGTGTATTATACTTAAACACATTTCTGGGTATTGGAGTTTGTAAAAAAGCTATACCTACCCTTTATTCGAATCGAAGAGGAAAAAAATTAGAACTATATTGAACATAAGTTTGGTAAAAAATTTCAGGCAGTGAAAAGGGATTCAGAGTAGTTGTGTGTGTGTGCCGTGTGGTACGTGGTGGTATGTGTGTGTGTGTGTGTGTGTGTGTGTGGTTGTGTGTGCTTGC